TATATATAAAAAATTTAAATACATGATTATAAGAGAAAATTTTAGAACTTTTGAATTGCTATATTTTTGAAGTTTTGAATTGCTATATTATGTTGCAGGAAAAAAAATTCTATAAATATGAAGGATTTATTGTCATTTTAACTATTTTAATTTGTGTAATTTTATACATGATTTCTCCACTAAAATTAAAGATCAATAAAAAATAATTGAAGGGAATTTCAAGTATATGTGTGGTCAATGTTCCAAAAAAAATAAAATATATATATATATATATATAGAAAAAATAAAAATATATTCAATTAGAAAAACAAAAACAAAAACACAAAATAAATATATTTTAAAATAATTATAAATAAAGTATATCAAACTGAAGAAGGTTGAATCATTCCAGATCTAAATATTATAGGTATGATATGATAGCTAAACCAAAACATCTTAGATTTGATAAGAAATTGAGTAAAAATTTAAAAATTAACCCATTTAGTTAGGCTAACAATACCATTAAAATATTCTTTACACTTTTAATATTTTTTTCATATATTTTTAAAAAATTAATATCAATATACTGATCACTGTTAAAACACAACAAGAAAACGAAAGTTAACACACAATTCTCGAATAGAAAAAGTTAAAATATGATTAAAATTGAGAATGAGAATTTCATTATTTCAACTACATTTAATTTGGCTTCCACCCCTTATTTTTTCATCTACTGTAGGAATTTATAAAGCCTATCATCTTAGAAATGCAAATGAAAAGAGAGAAGAGGAACTATAGAAATATCACAACTGCAGAATCTAATAAAAAAATCAATAACAAAACAAAGGTCTAGATGTATAAATTTATATTAAAAAGTAAATAATTAAAGATACACGAACAATTTAATATTTAAGAAAATATTTTAGAAAGCATTTAAAAAATCAAATTCTTTTGAAAAATATAAAAATAAAATAAGAACATACCGGCCAATGATTTCTACGAAACTTTAATTTTTATTTTCTAAAATTGAACTTTTTATAACCGCAACAGGTAAGCATTGACGGATGCTTTCCACGTTCACTGTTGCGGGAATAGGATATACTACAACGGTAAGACAATCAAGCCTAGGTCACATCTGGCATCCCTCGTCTTTGAAAATCTTTGTTCACTTTAAATTAATATTTTTTAAAATCATTTTGTTATACTAATGTTATAAAATGAAATAAATTTTTTTACTGGAGAACACAATCCCCAGGTCAAGAACTATTGACAGTTCCTGAGAGGGGCTTTCAACTGGGTGTTTTCAATCAAGGCGTTTTCCACCCGACTATTCTCGACTTGGTAGTTCTCAAATCAGGCATTCTCAGAACGAGCAATCCCAATCTCATAGTTCTCCACCCATGCACTCTCGACCTGTACTTTCTCAACCAGGTAGTTTTTGACCTGAGTATTCTCAACCCAAGCATTCTCAACCTAATCGAGAATGCACGGATCGAGAACTACCAGGTTGCGCCTTGGTTGAGGATGACTGGGCCAAGAACTACCAGGTCTAGAATAGATTAAGAACTACCAGGTTGAGCCATGTCTTGATAAACAACTCCTAAACTTGCAAGCATAAACCAGTCAGCATTTCTGCAGCTTCCTCAGATGAGACCCAATCTTACATGCCATACCCATGCAAAAATATGTCACTAACCTCACCATAACCATAATCTTCCATCCTCGCAAAAGGAAAATACACATAAGATACAAGATATTGCAACAAAAGGGACCAAATGCATATCTCAAAAGAGAGATTTAACAGTTTGAAAAATGGTGCTACAAAGCTGCCCCTAGCCAGGTGATCAGCTCAGTTATAACTATTGGCAATATTCAAGGAAAAAAAAAGCTTAAGGCAACTGGGGGCGCAGCCAGAGATGGAGCTGTTTGTTTAAATAACCTGTAAATGTTACAACCAAGAAAGAATACTGCTGAAACATGGGGGCACAGCCGGAGGTGGAGCTGTTTGTTTAAATAAGCAGTAAATGTTACAACCATGAAAGAATACTGATGAAACATATCACATATCAAAGTTCCACATACTCTCAGCACTTAATTTTGGCATTTTTGACTCCTCAGCCAAATTGACGGATGCAGAAAACTGGGATAAAGAAGGGCCAAGATTAGAATATCATTTTTGAGTTAAAATCACATAAAATAGAGAAGATTTTGGAATCCTAGAAATGCTTAAAGAGGCTTATCCAAACAGGTCAAAGCACACGACAACCACCAGATAAAATTAAGCAGCTCACAAGCATCCAAATAGCTGAAAGTAGCAACCACCCATTTTGTGATATCACCAGCAATCCCAGACATGTATTGCTTCAAGCCATAAAAAGTACAGGTAATTTATTGAAAACTCTAGAGTCATTGATTCAGAATTCTCTTTAAAAGAACATCAACATGCCACTGCCTTTTCATGATTGAAAAATGGAAGCAAAATATAAATATTATGCTTTCCACAAACAGAACATTGTCAGTTATAATTCAATTGAAAACCTAGAAAAAACAAACATGCTTGTGTTGCAGAATCAATAAGATGCATCTAGGAATTATAAAATGGAGATACAACATGCAAACCAAGCTAGAAACACAATTCCTATCAATGAACCGATACCTTTAAGATCCAAAACTATAACCATGTCCAGTTTAATGGAGGATCAAATTCTTAAAGCACACAATAGATTGCTAAATTTATGCTCAATTCCAAGATGAGGCTCATACAAGTTACTATCAATTAGAATGAGAACCTACAGGAATTTCAACTGGTGCTTTTTTCAACTTCTACTTCTTGATTTTACTTATTGATTTAGAAACCAAATTCCAGCAACTAGCCAATAAGCATATTAATTCAAGAGATTACCTTGAAGTTCCCATTCAGCTTTGAATTCGTTGACCACTCCAAGCCCAGATTCTTGCTTGACGTTTGATACGTAGCCTTGAGCACATCATCACCATAGACCTTCTGAGATACTGCAAAATCCCACGAATTCTTTGCCAAGTCATAACACGGCTCAAATGTCATCAGCCCACGATGCACATAAGTATACTTCAACTTGCAATTCTCCGTCCCGACCATATAATTAGCAGATATTTTGTTCGCTGAATCAATCACAAGAGTCCCGTCCAAAATAGTACGTTTATCCCCTCTGCTATGAATGTATGTCAGATTCAAGGGCTTGTCCACAACCTTAACAGCATTCATAAACTGAAACCTAAAATCCTGCACCACAAAACCAGTTGAAAATCAAGTCAATGTCAATTACAAAATCTTACTGAAAAAAATTCTAGCTTTTCTTAATTTAACAGCTACAGGGGATAAAAAACATGTTACTAATCAGTAGCTGAAACCCTAGATTTTTAAAAATGAATCCCTTATTTTAGAGATTCAAAAACCCTAATCCCTAAGAAGTTAATTTTGTTAGGAAGCCAAACTCGCAGTCAATTGATACGAAATCAAAGTCAGCAAAGCAAGTTCAAACTACCTGCCCAGTCGAAAACCCTAGTTACCTACAAAATTGTCAGCCACCAAACAGACCTTATGCGATTAAGAAAGCAGAGCAATGGAGTTTGTGGAGGAGTTACCTTTTTGGGAACGTTGTAGTCTACTATGAAGAAGCCAGGTTTCTCGACAGCTAGAGACAAGCCGTTTAAGCTAGGGCCATTGACGAAGGTGGCGTCGGTTACAGAAGCCCGAAGCCTAACATCGCCGGTGTTGAAGGCGACAGTAGCAGCGCCGGTGCTTTTGTCATTTTCGTACCTGCCCTTCAACGACGCTTTCATTTCGTGAAAAACGAGAACACAAGGCTAGAGGATTATCAGTGCCAGCAATATTAATCGGTGGTTGGTAAGTGTTATGCACACAAGGTTATATTTATACGCGGGATTGTTTTAGAGAGTATTATGACCAAGGTTTATTAAAGAGTTTGTAGGTTATTTTTTTAAAATATTAATGTATCAAAATTATTTAAAATTATTAAAAAAATTAGTTAAAAATAAAAAAATATTCAATTTTTTTAAAAATATTAATGTATCAAAATTATTTAAAATTATTAAAAAAATTAATTAAAAATAAAAAAATATTCAATTTTTTCAAAAATATTTTTAAAATATAAAAATAGACAGACTGTTAGTTCCTTTATTAATCAATCATTTTTTAAATATATATATTTTTAAATTTATTTATAACTTAATCCTTTCTATCAATTATTTTTCCTATTTTTTTAAATATAAAAATAAAAAATAAATAAGATAAAAAGATAGATGAAAAGGTATTAATAAATGAAAAAAGATAGATGAAAAACAAGCATTTCATAAAACAAAATATTGTTCAATGCTTCATCTTAAAACCAAGCGAGTTTTTAGCGGCTTTATAATAATGAAATCAACCATCAAAAGATATTAGTTGCTGGTTTGGTTGAAAAAATATTAAAATAATATTTTTTTAAAATTTATATTTAATATTAAAATATTAAAATAATATGAAAATATTAAAAAAATAATTTGAAGTAAATAAAGAATAATTTTTTTTAATTTTTTAAAATATTTTTAAAATATAAAAATAAATGGAATCAAATACCACAAAAAACCAATGCATTAACTATTATATAATACAATTGTTATTCATTAAAAACTCATGCACATGGGCATTCAGTACGAGTAGCATCACTTAGCCAAACACGAACACGTAATAGGAAAAAGGTCACCATGGAGTAAAAAAACAAATGAAAGATAAATAGAGGTCTAAATTGTAATCAACTCGCCAGTACCGTCTAGCCAGTAGCGATGGCAGGATGCGTGGTTGCGGGCTTCTGCGACCCCGACAGTACTCGCCCTTTCTAAAGCCCGCAGTCCGTCCGGGTGCATTCAACAAAATCGAGACAACATCTGTGTGAACTATTGCAATAAACAAGAGGATAATAATTCAAATGAAGCGCGAAAGAAAAGTTCAAGTTGAAGGCTAGAAAAGCAATAAACAAGAGGATAGCTAGACCGAAAGTAATAATTCAAATCGAGGAAATCTATTAAATAACCCTTAAAATGCCCTCAAAAAACAATAAATTTATAAAAATAAATTACATACAAGGATAAATCAAATACAGCAATCTAGTTGGCGCCAAAAACGTATTGGGCGGGCGCCCCATTTCTTCCTCCCCCCTCTCCCTATCTATCAATCGCGCAGTACCTAACTCTTACCCTCAGTGCAGATCCCTCACTTTTCGAGCTAGCCCAAACTCTTGAATCTCAGGTAAATTCCTTTTCTTTTCCATGTTTACTTTACAATAATTTTGATTAAGCAGTGAAGTAGGGCTAGACCTGAATCTTCGGTTGAGCTAGATCTACGATTTCTGTAGCTCAGGTTGCCGAGCTAGAGCTACGATCGACGAGTCGGCGACTAGACTGAATCCGTGTTCGAATCTCAGGTAAATTCCCAACTCATGCTTATTCATGCATTTTATACCTTAATTGATGGATCCAAGCATTCTTCTACTCTAACAGAAATTCTGTGCCGTAATTCCTATTCCTTTCTCTTTCTTACAAGATATCCTCTAAATTCCAAGTTTGTGCCTGCGAGTTGCAAGATGACAGTATTTTATTTGTGGTGTATCAATGCATTGCTTATGTTAGCATGCTTTCTTAACATGAAAAGTTTGTCTTGCTATAGGGCTTTGCATTCTAGGCTCTAGGATAGCAGTGAGGAAAGAACAATTTCAGGTGAATTGGATGATGTTAACTTTGGTAGTATGACACTGAAGCAAATTAAGGAGAGATGCAAAGCAAAGAAAAGGAAACCTGGAATGTTCAGGGATATGTCATCATTCAAAGCTACAACATCTTCCTGAAAGGCTCCTTTCAAACTGGAAGGTGTGCACCATCCATAGCACATGCATCTGTTGATTTTTCTCTTATATTACCCTGAATTTGATCAGACAGTGCTTACATTTTCAGGCAATTTCTACAGCATCTCAGAAAAAACTGTGCAAGGCTATGGAGTCTAGTGACATAGATGATGAAGATTATTACAGTAAGTGAATAAGATATCATGTTCAGATTTATGGACCATGCATTTTCTTTTCCTGGAGCTGATAAAAAAAAAAATAGCTTCAGTTTTCATATGGGTGAGCCCCGCTCACCCAAACTCCCCCATATTTAAAATAATTTTGCTGGGTTGTTGATGATTGCAGAGTATGCTATGAAATTATGCTGCAGGAATTTGAATGAAAATAAGATTGGTAGGCTTGGAAGAGCCTATCAGAACCGGATATTTGATCTCACTATTAGCCCTGAGCGGATCATCAGGAAACTGAAGAGTGAGTAATATGGTTCCCATTATAAAGACATTCTTAAGGTTCCTCATCCTTCTCGAACTATACCATGTTTTGCCACTGGGAGCACCTCTGTCCAAAGTTGTTCAGAGAGTGCCATTTCATTATCACAGATGCAAGCGCGTGATATTGAATCTATTACAACTAAACTTGAAAAAGAGGTGAACTCCATGAAGGGCATTGTTCAAGAAACATGGCAGTCCAAGGTCTATCCTGCTATGCCCTTGAAATACAGGGCAGATAAGGTATGTTAAGATACAAGATTGAGGTAGTTTGGCTGTACATCCAACCTATGGCAATCCTTAATTTTTCCTTGCTCAGAAGAATAATTGAAATATAAATTTAAAACTGCCGCTTCTTATGTTATATTTTGGATGCTATCAGTAAAATGCAAACAATCAAGTAGAAAGGCATAATGTTAGAGAATGATATAAATTATGTTTTGGGACCTCAACTTAAAAACTGAAGCTATTGAGTTGAGATAGTTATTTAATATGATATCAAAGCTTGGATGATCCAGTGGTCAAGAATTTGAATTTCACTATCTCTATTTATTTTATAAAAATTAAAAATAAAGTAATGTAGTCATATACAAGTTTTAAGCTTAAAATGCTTTTAGTTGAATGGATATGTTAAAGAATAATATAAATTATATATTGAAACTTCACCTAAAAGTTTAAACTATTAGGATGGTTCTTCGACGGATAACACACTGAAGAGGCCTTTAGAAACCAAATGAACTTGTGTTCTCTTGTCTTTTTCCAAGTTCATTTTTTTTTTAATTTGAGAAATTAAGGCTAATTATCTTAATCACATAACATCAGCATGACTACGAGGTGGATTTGGAGTTTTTATTAACTTCCCCCAACTCCATCCATTCCTGCATTGCAATATTTGTTCTTGCATCTTGATGAAGTTCTCTGCCACAATGCCCATATTTCTGAGTTCTGAACTCACTGTAACACTTTATACTTGCGTGATACTTTTCCATTCACTCAGTGGATTGCTTCCATGTTTAGACCAACAAATTATACAGTCACACTATGCTCTCTCTATTCTTTTAATCAGATTTTTTGCCTTGTCCATTTTTCATAAAGGTGTTTTGGCTAAACTAAGAAGGATGATTTTGAGTTCTGACAAACACTTCAGCGCTAACAGTTTAGCCCCCTTTGGGAGGCTGCTCAAGGACTCAACCTTTGTATTCAACCTATTTTAGATAAAACCACACAGTTGACTTGATGTCATCTGTGTTTTTTGTCCTTGCAGTCCTGGCACATCCTTGTTAGCATGTGAAATTGATTAGAGTTTGGTGAAACCGATTTCTTTTCACTATCATTGGAAGCTCAATTTTTTTATGGTAAAATACAAATTGTGCGGAATGTTAATAACAACGATGTTTTCTTACATGTTTTTGGTTGCTTTTCTTTGCATTTGGCTTTATGGCTGCAGGTATGTACAGTATGCTATAGCGTAAATTCTATTGATTTGGCAGGTGAATTCAAAATGCAACTAGAGTGGAAGAAATTAAGTGCAAGAAGATGGCTTGCCATCCTGGCAAGGGATTGCAACTGATTTTGTAAAATCATGGTTTGTTTCTTGTCATACACTTGTTTCAGTGCATGCGTTTGAAAAACTTACACCAGTCATATACTTAATTATCATGTGAGATATTTGCTGATATTTTATTTGATTGATCTCAGAAATTGACTGACAAAGCTTCTGCAACTTTTCTGGGAATGCTGTCCACAAGGAGAAGAGAAAGATAGTTTTTGCTGATGAGGCTGGCGGAAAGCTTTGTGATGTCAAAGCTTTCGAGAATGACAGGGCTTCTTTTGCAGGGTCTAGTAGTGACAAACAGGTAAATTTCGATTAAATAAAGGATGAAGCTTTTATCCATTGTACCTTAAATCTTTCCATTTTCTTTTCACTTTTCGAGAGCAATTCTTTTAGATATTTGTCTTTCCATTTTCTTTTCACTTTTCGAGAGTAATTCTTTTAGATATTTGAGTGGCTATTTGATGCTTTCTAGAACAACAAAATGAATGTATAGAATAGTTTTGGCACGTGTAAATCTAGGGTAAGGTGTGTCTGAGATCAGGAGTGAAGCTACCATAACACAGATGAATTCAGCTAGAAAGCAGACTGGTGCTCGCTTGAAAGCTAGTTTACTGATCACTGAGAACTAGAGAATAGGATTAACTTTGTTTATACTTTTCTTACCTCTTTACTTGAGATTGAAGCATGTTGTAACAACAATCTTGTGTTCTTGTCCCAAGCCAATGAACAAATGTTTATTTGTGCTTGGAATTTCCAATGATGTTAGCCTTATGTCAAGACGACAGAGAATCCCAGTTTTCGGCCTGCATATTCTCTTTTATTCATTAAAAGATGCTTAGCTGGTTCTCATCCCTCCTACCATGATTAGAATTAATCCTCTTTTTTTTTTTGCCATTAATTATTATCGCCCAAGCAATTGATCTCTTCTGTACATCGCATCAACATTTTATACATCAAGTAAATAATATACCACAATAAAATATTTTTTGTGGGTTGTAGACTGCATAACCAATCAACCACAAAAAAAAAAAAAATACTAACAAGATATCTTAATATTAATATACAAAAGATTTTATTTTCTTAATTATACACAAGAATATTTTTAAAATCCTTTTATGTCTGTTTAAGTATATTTTTTTGGGTTTTTACCCAGGATATCTCCCAGTCTATTTGGCTCAAGACTTAATTACCTTTCGGCTGGAAGCGTGAAGGTGAAAACTCTCTTAACAAGTGTATTTTCGGGAGATCAAACTTGTGTTCTCATCTTTTCAAAGGTAGAGGCTGCTTTTACCACCTCAAAAAGACATCATTTATTATACATCCTAAATGGAAGAAATTATAATAATAAGAAAGATGGTAGCATGTTTTCATATAGGAAAAAAATAGCATAATTCATAGAGGAGAAAGAGCATACAGTTAATTTGCGAAGTGCGTTCATTATTGTAACTTCATTTCTCACGCTCACTATCAAGTGGGAAAAAGAAATCATTTGCAAACAAATATAACATCGAGCTACCTATTAATTAAAAAAAATAAATGTAATGAAAAAGAGGATCATGTTGCTCACCCATTTCTTCTATCTTAATTTCTGATAGAAGCTCTCTTCTTTACAGGAGAATCACAGAAAATGATCTCCCAAACCTCTGAGAATGCCTGCACGATAACTCCATGATACTGTCTCGAATTCAAGGACAAAAAACACTGCAAAAGTTCCTCTAAATCCTGGGCCTCAAATATTTGCCTTTCTAATATCATCTCCAACATAGACCTCTTAAAGTCCTGGTGTGGGTTTTGCGATTTCTTCACCACTGCCATGCTCTCCTTCACTCTCCCATCAACCTTGCGTGATATCACCCGCTTCAAAACGGATGATCTCACAGGTGAAGGAATCTCTGGAGACGTCACAGTCTTTGATCTTTTCCACTTGTTCAATGAAACTTGGTGTCCAAGCTTTTTAATTTTCTTTAAATTACTCTCTTTCTTGTTCCCTATAGGATTATTAAACGCTTCATGGTATTCTGGTTGCCTGGCTATAGTATCCAATGAATGGCTGAATTCACAAGAAGAATCATAGGAGAAACTTCTTGAAGAACAAAGTAGGGTTTCATTTTCTTCACCAGCAACATCAGTACTGCTAAAGCACCCACTAGTATCAACAGACAAGACACCTGTCTTGACCTTGTTTTTCTTGATATTAATTTCTCTGTTTTTGTTTTTTCCAGTTACCATGAAGGGTGACATGTCCCCACTCTCATCAGAGAATGAGAAGGGCACGTTTAGGTGAGGTTTGGCTTGCCACCTGGCTTCTTTCTTGCACGCAAAATCTGGCGATTCAATGCTCCAATCTGACATGCAGCAGCGCGGGCACGATCTTGATTGGCATTTGCAGCCAATGGAAATGGTCTTCCTTGACACTTGGCATTTGTGATAAGGTGTTGATGGTGGTGGTGCTGGGAGGTTACAAGGGTAATTGATGTCAAGTGCTTTAGGGTTGAAAGGAGAGAGCCTGTGGATAGCTGGGGTTGGAGCTTCGGGACAAGAAGGATCTTTGGATCTACAGAGTTGGAATGAGGTGATAACACGAGAGAGCTTATGCTTGAGACGATTGGGCATCTTGTGGAAGTTCATGACCATGAGAACGTCTGTAGTTCTGAGACAACGTGCTAAGGCTTAGCTATAAGAGGTTGGATATATAATGGAAAGAGGCCGGCATTCAAGATGAAAGACAACAGCTTGTACCCACTGGGTTTCAAAAGTATTAATTTAAAGGATCTGCACGCCTGGTTAGAATGACCAAATCCAAGTGATGATGTATGGTTATTGCCTGAAAGCTACATGGAATTCCAGAGTGACCGTATACTTCAAGTATATTAGACTTGGGTTTTGCGAGAAAACAATCTCTCTCTAATCGTGGTTAATTAGTGTGTTGGATCAGTAATTCTTAAGCATCAAAATGAAGGCTGTGAATAATTTTCATGATGATTTCTATGTTTATGCAAAATGAGAGAGCACACTCCTAATATATTATCTAATAGGTTTTTTTTTTTTTTTTTAACAGGTAGAACCATGACTAATATAGATCAATTCCATATATTAATAATTTTCAATGCAACCTGTAAGCATGTTTACTAGCCGGTGGTGCCTGATTATTGTTTTACAGTAGAGAAAACGGAGACATGATTTGTTGAAAAAAATAGAGACATGGCTGGAATAAACCGCCATCATTTTCAGAGATGCCTCCTATTATCTTCCATGGATCTCGAAGACAAGATAGAAAGTTTTAGGAAATGTCACTGAGAGATACGTGAAAGAAGCAATCGAGACCATGCTTGTTGCTCAGGGCCAAAAAACTGTTCAGAAAATAGTTTTACGATGCTTGACATCTTGACTTTTTGGTAGCAATATGTATTTGCATCATGGCCTGGCCATATAGCTCTCTCGAGTCTGCTAATCCTGCTCTTGTTTTCTATTGTTGAGATAATATTGCGAAGGACAAGGGTTGTATCCAGCCGTAGTTATCTTGACTCATTCCCACTCAGACCCAAACTCGAAAAAGAAATAGCAGGCAGGTCCCCCAAACATTTTTCAATTACTCTTACGTTCTACTTACCAAGTTTGTATGTCTTTTTCAGTACTGGAGCCCTTGCTGAGATGGCCAAAAAAAAAAACAAAAAAAACGCTACAATCTACTCGAGGACCTTGCAATTTGCAGTCAGGTAGTTCACCCATCTGATGAACACCTGGACAAGAATGCACAAGCTACAATACAAAAATAAAATAAAATAAAACGAAGGAAGTTTTCTGCCTCAGTTCATGCACACGCGTTTTGGATCTTTGACCCCATCACTAAGCAAGAAACCAGGAAAAAATCCATCTCACTAGGAGCAAGGTAACTGTATTAGCTGGAGTGTGAAGATGGTTCGCAGAATGTAAGCCAATTGAACCCAAATAACAATTATATATATTAACCTCATTTTTAAGAATATATGAACTGCAAAATAGGTTCAAGAGGTGACCCAAGTTCTATAGATAGATCAAACCAGCTGTCAACCTTCTTCTTCTTCTTCTTGTTTTTTTTTTTTGGACAATGATATTGGAAAGCTGTTTACACTAAAAAAAAAACCTTATTTTTGGTGTAGATCCAATCGTGAATCAAGGATTGAAGCCTGCGGGTTCTGAGCCAGACTGAGTTGGATCTCTTGATCTAATTGTTGACATTATGGATACTGGGATCCCAATTTTTGGATTAGAAACTCTTATTTTCATGAATCCAATCTGGATGTGCTCTAGCTTTATTGAGTCTAAGTGACAAACCTTTATTTTAAAAGCTTTAGAGTCTATCATCTTAGGAAAAATCATCATCATCATTATAAATCCTAATTATCTCTTTGAAGTTGGAGAAACGAGACAATCAAAGTGTTTGGATTAGATCAAACCAGCTGGACAAGAGTTTTAGATTTGTTAGCAAAGAATCTAAATTACATTAGAGGTTCAATGCATGGATGTTTTATCATTTGTAATCCTTCATGATCTCTTTTATATCCATATTTAATGCATTTTTTGTTATATATATATAAAATGTATTTTCTTGGTAGTTGTCACAAAAGTGTACTTCGAAAGTTGAAGGATTGATTAAGAAACTGAAAAAAAAAAATGATGGAATTAAGTTCAATCTATCAAGTCCCCTCATTAAAGCTAAAACAATTAACTATTAATGTATATATCTTATTTCAAAGGTATTTTAGAGGATATAAAATATTTTTTATTTTAAATAAAATTATTGCTGTATTAAAAATTTAATATAACTTTAACGAAACAAATAGGACTTAACCATAGTTCTGTAAATTTTTAATATATTTTTTATATTTTTGACTTTTATTATATTTTTAATATGTTGATATTAAAAATAAATTTTAAAGAATAAAAAAAAAATATTTTAATGTATTTTAAAATAAAAAATACACTTTAAAAAATAATTTTGGATATAGAGGGACATCATGTTGTGCAAATGATTGTGTTTGTTTGAAGAAACTGTTTCCAATCTAATCTTTGTGTGTCTGCACGGTTCAATCAAATTATGATTAGCTTGAAAAAACATACGAAGTTATATTTTTTTCAAGTTCAAGTTAAACACACTGTATTACCGCGTCAACACATTCAACATGAACTATAAAACCTTTTTCGCCTCTTGTAGTGGTGTGATCCCTAGAAATTTGCCGGGTTGCTTTTGCCTCAACATTTTTGTTCGCTGAAAATGCATGCTTCTTTGTGGATTGCAAATTTCTTGTAATGTTAGATAGTATTTAAAGGTTGACGAAGGTGAAGTTCAATTTCATTTTTTCTTCGAGGGGGAAACACCCACCGAAATCCTACAGATGCTTACTTCGTTGTCATGGAGATTAGAATCTGACAGCGCAATTTCATTGTCTTGATACATGTACGGAAAAATAGTATTCAAGTGTCCATAAATGATGATTATGATGAAAAACAGAGATAGATCATCACTCTATCGTCCAGGACCTCCATGTTCGTTTCAGCCATATCAATTCTCTCAAAAGCAGGCGCAGCAGGGTAGGCAAATGCCCCCGTCCGATCTGCGCCATCTGCAATTCCACTTCACGGGCCAATATCGAGTGTCGATATGATAACTTATGATCGCCAATTTAGTTTGAGACATAAGACCGAAGCAAACAGGTCGAGAATCTAGCAAGAAGTGGGGTTTTGGTTGGCTAAATGAGATGGGGGCAAGTTGAAACTAGTCCAATGGCAAGGTGCCCTCTGCTCCCCAAATTTAGCAATTATTGAAGAGACCCCTGAAATCGTGCACCCACGATTGCTACGCGCAAGGAACACCCCAGACAGGAAAAGGAAAAAGAAAAGGACGCAGTCTTTCATCTCCCTCTCGTTGATTGCCCGGCATTTCAATCAAGATTTAGATTCATTTCCTACTCTCCCTATCCTATTGGGTTGCTCTCTTGGATTCAATCAAAGTGAAAAAGGTGTTTTCCTGGAATTCTATGAGGAAGTTGTGTCCTAATTATGACAGGGAACATGCACTTGACACCGTCTTGGAGGTGCCTATACCTGAAGAGATGTTCACAAAAATGGGCAACAGTTCAGCTTCTCGTTGGCAAAACATGCGCGCATTGATGAGAGCTCAAGCTGCTGCTGATAAATCAACCCATCTCCAATCTAAATCAGACAGTGAATTTATAGCATTGCTTAAGCTTGTTGGCTCTCCTCTTATCCCTTTTCAGGTGAACCCTGACCAGCCTCTCACTCGTCCTCTTAAAGATTGTAACATTGTATGTATGACTCTTTCATTTTCCTCTTCAAGTTTTTCTTCCTTTCTTTTCTTTTTGGTTAAATCTCAAAATGGAAGGAACATAATTCATTGCTGGACTTCATGTAATTTGAGAGATTATCTGAAAATCTTGGTGTGCTAGAATGGTGAGCATGCTTCGTTGTTTTGAAAACATTCCCTGCAAAGGTTAAGGTACCACTCAGCATTTTCAAAATTGAGAATCAATGGCAATTTCAGCATGTTATTAACTCACCTATACGCCTGCTATGGCCATAAGGATATACACTTAATTACTTCACATTTCATTTCTGATATGGAAAGAAAGGAAACAATGAAAAGGGAAACATTAACCCTCCAAAACTACAACTTTTCATTCTACTTTTTATTGATTAGCTAGGGTGAAGAGAACGCAGCTCGATGCCTTCAACTGGACCTGGAAATGTTACTTGTGATTAACAATGCATAGATAGTTTACTAACGGTGACTTGTTTCGTGAACAGGAAGCCTCTACCGCGAAATACATAGTACAACAATATATAGCAGCAATTGGAGGATCGTTGGCACTGAATTCAGTGAAAAGCATGTATGCAGTAGGGCAGGTGAAGATGGCTGCATCAGAAATGCACCAAGGTGATGACAGTGTGCACCCAGGAGGAAAGTCCGAGGTTGGAGGGTTTGTGCTATGGCAAAAAAACCCTGATTTATGGTACCTAGAACTAGTTGTTTCGGGTTACAAGGTCAGTGCAGGCAGTGATGGCAAGGTTGCTTGGAACCAATCCTCGTCTCAGGCTTCTCATGCTAAGAGAGGTCCTCCAAGACCCTTGCGGCGGTTCTTCCAGGTATAACCTTTTCTGAATGTGTATCTTCTAGTGACCAAATAATCGCTGTATGTAATCTAAGACTATTGATTCCGTATCTTTTGGGAATGTCAAGATGATTGAAGATGGTTTTCTTTGTGATGCCAATAGGGATTGGATCCAAGGTGCACCGCCAACTTGTTCTTAGAAGCAGCATGCGTTGCAGAGAAGGCAGTGAACAATGAAGACTGCTTTGTACTCAAGCTCGAGACCGATTCAAACACCCTTAAAGCTCAAAGTTCATCCAATACAGAAATCGTACACCATACAATATGGGGCTACTTCAGCCAAAGAACAGGACTGCTTGTCAAATTCGAGGACACGAAACTAGTGAAGATGAAACCAATTAAAGGAAATGATAATGTGTTTTGGGAGACAAGTATAGAGTCAGTGATCGGAGATTACAGATACATTGAAGGCATCAATATAGCACATAGTGGAAAGACCATCGCAACACTTTACAGATATGGAGCATCACATAATCATAAGAGGAAAATAGAGGAAACATGGATGATTGAAGAAGTTGATTTTAACATATGTGGGTTGTCGATGGATTGCTTTTTACCCCCTGCTGATCTTAAGAGAGAACAAGAAGGTGGAGAGCTGTGACCATATTACAATTTATTTGAGTTACGGGAACAAAAATGTAACTCAAAAGGAAAATCCATGTATATATAGGTGAGTTGGAAGCTGGGAAGTTTTCTTATAAAGGGTATGAATGTAGGAAGTGAGAAATATTTTTTTCTTTAAATATACAGAACCATTCATTGAAAAAAGAATAGGACCCAACAAATTTATCTCTGAAATATCTTTTTCATTCCATCAAATTAAAGAAACAGGTTAATTTTCTTGTAAAATACATCTAGAATAAATTTTTGAATCTACATGTTTAGACGCATCCATTCTACATCTAAATTGAATGGAACCAACCCAACAAGTAATTCGTTCAGAATGTGATAAAACATGAGATGGTATCTGGTAAATATAATGATTTAAGGATAAGTGGATGCCTTGTCTCAAAGAAAGAGTGAAGTGAAAGCCCATTGGAAGCGTT